ATTTTACTACCAGTTCTTTGGCAGTTTAGTAAAGATAAAGTATTAAAAAAATTTTAACTCATTTGTGTCCGACGGAGTTTTGTCCCGTAAATTTTTTAAATACTTGCAAATAATTTTGCGCATTTATTATGTATTTCTCCTTTTCTCTAAGGCTATGTGGCTACTGTGCACCTGAGAAGCTCGGGGGGTAATACCTCGAAGGGAGGCGAGGCAGTCTGCCACAAAACCTCTTCTCTCTCTTAAACTTGTTTGTTCATTTACTTCATTTTAATACTCACTCTACTTCATTTCACACTTCCGTTCACACTACTTCATTTTAATTTTCTCTCAGTAAAAGATACGGAACCCCAACTTTCACCTTTCAGTTGCGCCTCGGCGATTTATTATTTATTTCCACTCAGATGAATTAATTAGAGCCCCTAGCGGGGCTGATGCTAAGATAACCATCACATATGAGTATGAGTATTCTATCTTCCCACGTTAGGTGAAATTCTCTCCAAAATTTAACTGTAGAATATGAACCATTGCATGTAATTTTTCATTCTGTTAAACTTCATATTTGTTTTTCCATATTTATCTCAAGCCACATTTATACAACGCCTCCTATAACTGAAAGCCTCCGCACGGCTTTTTATAGGTAGTTCGATCTGACCACTATGAAGGATATCCACTTACCGAACGAGTCATTAAATACAGAATATATTTAACATAAGAAAGTGGTAGCAAATATATGACTAAAAATTTATTTTATTTATGAATATTATTGGTTTGCCTTATTCACTTGTCAACCACTACAGATTCAATTCTCAAATGTATAAGATAAATTTCTCTCAATTACTTTTATAAAAGGTTTTGGGTTCATGCACACAACTGGTTCACTTTTTAAACAGTCACCGCGGACTATACTTATAAAAGACCGTGTGGAGGCTTCTTGATGTAGGAGGTGATGGTTTATATCACATTCTAGTTTTAACATATATGAATCGGCGAGAGCTTCAGGCTGGTAATGAGACACAAGACAAGGACTAATATAGATATCTGATGCTGAATGGGAGGTTTGGGGCTTCAAGCAATTTCCTTTTAGCACAAAAAGAAAAGAGCGAAAATTAATTTACTTTTATTTACTGCGCATAAGCTGCAAGTATATAGAAATCATAAAATAAGTTAAAAATATAGGCAAAACAAGGGAAATAATATAATAAAGATTAACGAAAAGAGAAATTAGTGAAATAAAATATTTTTTTTAAAAAAATGTTTAATTAAAAAAATAATTATTAAAAAGCCACGAAACAACACATTTCGCTTAGTTAACACGTTGAACGCCACGCTAATTTCACATGGCTTGCCCATCTGGCCACGGTAAATAACTACAAACTAAATTTGCAAATAAGCCGACCGGCCTGTGTAGGGGCCAGGGAACTGTCTTTGCATCAGATAGGTTCTGGGTTCGAATCCCGGGCAAGGCATGGATGTTCTCTCCTTCTCTGTGCTATTTGTCATCACTGCAGGAGCGACGTTGGCCCACCTAATATGGTGCCCCTGAAAGAGAGGCCAACAAAATCGCGCTGTCAATGCTTGAATTGACGGATGTTAACACAGGTGGGCATTGGAGAAAAAAAATTGCAAATATTAGACGGATTTTGCTATTTTTTAAGAAGGTTCATCATAACATCTGTTAAAAGAGGTGAATTATATATGCTTATGAATTATGTAGAAATAGTGGTGGATAAAAATCTACTAAATTGAATTTATTAAACCAAGAATCACAATTGATAAACTACCACTTTAAAATATATATTTGCTGTCCGGAGCAAGTTGGCATCTCTGGTGATTCCTGATTTAATAAATTCAATTTAGTATATATTTTTCCACCACTATTTCTAAATAATTCGTATACCACTTCATTCGTTTACCACTTCATGGTACAATGTTAGGCTATACCTTTCAAAAAGCAAGCAAAAATAGTCAAATATTTGCAAAAATTACTTGGAAGTTTACCGTTTTTTTAATTATTTTGGCGTGTCCGGAGCAGTTGGCATCTCTGGACACGGCCTAAATGGAAAGTCCAGTGTCAGCCACCGATAGCTGACGCGGTGCTCAACGTGTTAACTTATTTTCACACTATTATGAAAAAAGTATACTCTTAATATTAGATTTGTTTCTAGATATATATCTTTAATTTTCCGGATTATACAATTTTGTTAAATAATATTTACCCCGAGGAATTAATCTTGCTCCGTAATCTTGATGATAATATTAATTTAAATGTTTTGTATTTAGTTATTAAAAAAATTAAAATATCTGCGTTGTTGATTTCTACGATAAAAGAAATGATTTTAAGTTTAATATAAATAAACTAATTACTTGGAATTCTAATTTTTCTAAAAACATTTATTTAAATACTATTTTTAATCAAATGAATAGAATTAAAAGAATATGTAGTTATGCTTATTTATCCAAAAAACAGACTAACCCTTCGAAAAGTTGATAAAAACATAAAAATGAATAACTAACTAATGTAATTAAGTTAGATATAAAATCATTGAGTTAATTGTATGTTATTATTAATATTAATGAATTTACTAAAAACTTCTTTGTTAACTAAATTTATATTTTTACCATGTGCAAAACTGATTCGGGTAAATTCATGGCTGAAAATCTGTGCAAACCGAGCAAATCATATTTCCTTTTTTAAAAAATAGAAGTTAATTTTCTAAAATCGGAAATATTGTATAATTGTATATTAAAATATCAACCTTATTAATTATAAACTTTAAATTATCCAATATAATATTGTTATCTTGCGCATTTCCATTTATGAGCCAATACAAGGTAACTAACAAATCAAACGAGCTTCAGTACTTCAGTAAGAACGCGCCATAGAAGAACCCACTATCCACGCTTCTGACCTTTATTTGCGCTTCTGTTTTCATATTTTGTAATTTGGCAAACTTAATACTAAATATTTTAACTCATTCTTGAAAGATTCCGGAAGGTGTAAATTCATTTGAATTAACTGCTCGCTTTGTAGTTCACATTTCGAGTTTTCTTCTGTATTTTCCTTATATTTTATTTTCTGTTTTTAGCATGATATGTTTGATTTCATATATTTTTTACTTAATGTGTTCTATTTTTGTTTCAATTTTTTGGATACTCCTCGCTCTATTGTATTGATATATTTTGCTTTGGCTATAATAATACAATATTAGAAAGCACTCCTTTTTGCAGATATAATCGTGTGAGCTGATGACGAGATTTTATCTTTTCATTATTCTGCTTTACTACTTTTTAACAAACGATTTTTTTTAATTAAGAATTTTTTTAAATATTTTTAAAAATATTTAATTTGAATATTTTTTTTCTTCTTTTCTCATTAATTTCTATTATATTATTTTTCATGTTTTATCTATATTTTTTATTTATATGTACGTACGAAATGAAAAAAAAGATGAGAAAAACTTCCGCTGTTCCTATGGAAGTTTTTTTTGTCTTCTACAGCCCCAGCATAAGTTTTTCTCATGATATTTAGCCACTCTATATTAACATAATTTCTGTTGAAAAAAGAACATTTTGCTTCCTCGATTAATTACGACTTCTTCATTTTTTTTCTGGAACTTTTTTAATTTTTCTAAACTGACCACCTTAAACACCCTCGCTGTTAAACACGTGCAAAAATGTTGTCGGAATTTATGCAGATATTTAGTGTTGACAGATCAGAAGTCGGCTACATCTTCAATTCAACAGAATTTTTTACGATTGCTATCAAAATGTATGTTTTTTTCGAGGACAAAGCTTAGAAGCATAGTGATTTATTTCGCACATCTTACTCTCTTCATCTTTTTCTAATGACAATCACTAATCACGATAAAACTAAATATCCTAATCTATTTTAAATTCTAAACTGTGAGATACCCATTTGGATGATAAAAAATTGGTGTTGCCATTTGAAAATTTCAAATTTCTCTCACTAACACTGTAATTATAAGAGCTGGATATTTATTTTGTGCATTTTTCTTAGGAGCATGAACTTTTAATTCTTTGCACATTGCGGTTTTTTCAATAATTAAAACAAAACACGTCTACTAAATTGGACAACAGCGATGCCAGCCTCTCCGCTTTTTTTCAAAAGTTTAAATAAGGAGTTGTGGGGACTTATAGGATAGAGCGCTCGCCTCCCAATGAGTGAACCAAGTTCGAATCCCAGCGGTGGCTGGTCGATTCGAATTCCACACCATGCTCGCATCGACCGCAGTGCTGACGTAAGATATCCTCAATGGTAGACGGAACATGGGTTAGAGTCCTTTTACCGACAGGCTAACCGTGGGAGGTTTCCGATGTTTTCCTTTCCATGTAATACAAATGCGGGATAGTTAAATCAAAAAGTCCTCCACGAAGGCAAATTTCTCAAAATGCATGATTCATGAGTTCCATTGTTTTCTGGATTGGGTTCAAAATTACAAGGCTACGGAACATTGGTATAGTCGTAAACCCTACATTGTGTCAGCTGTTCAACGATGGTTATAAAATAAAATTAGTTGGTTTCGAATAAAAAGGTAAAACTTGTAGAATAAGGATTAATCTCGCTAACTCTTCAAAAGTTTCCCCGCGAGATACCAAGTCTAGTATGCGCTAAAAAACTAGGAGCCTGGTCCTCGTAACGCCTCTTTATTCCATTTATTTTGAACTTAATTGATCAGTGAGTTGCGGAGATTGGGGTTAGCTGTCTTTGAGTTCGAGGTTGCTATCGAGATAAATTCCAACAAAATTGTTTTCTATATGAAGATTTGAATTCGATACATAAAGGAGAAAAAATATTTTAAAATAACATTTACTAAGCGAAAAATAACTTTAACTTTGCTATCAGTAGAAAATATTTTTTTATCCGCTACAATATAAAAATCTCTCTTAAAACCTTTGCAATTTTGTTCCACAACAAAACATCAAATTTCAGACGTATCATATGATACTTGGAGCACATTAAATTAAGTGGTCACTAAACATTAAGACGTAAAAATTTTATCACATAGAAGTAGTAGGTAATTTACAGATGACAATGGTGCATGACAGCCACCTTTATGCAAACTTTATATCGTTGTCCCGAATGGTATGTTGGTCAGAGGATCACATGTTTGCAATGTTGTTTCATTATTACCCAGTAGACTGACAATATTACTTGACTTGATCTACATTATATAAAAATATGCAAAGTATTTTCCTTTGGGATTGATGCTTAGTCTCTGGGGGAAGAAATTCAGAGTCTGAAGAATGTTTTTACAACTTGGAAGGAGAGGAGAATTTTTTTTCTCAATGTAACAAGACTATAGTTTTAATTTTTGGGATATTCTTCCTGTTCTTTAAACTTCCATTTTTTCTCGATGCCGTGCTGTTGCATATTCTAAATAGTCGAGATAGCCATCACCGTCTAAATCTTCTTCTTTCATGATTTCATCTATAAATTCTGAAAATGAAACAGTACATTTAAGTAAATTATGCACTAATAGGGTAATTAGGTTAAGGCAGCGGTTCTCATTTTTTTTTCCGACTACAGAACCCTATGTAATCAGACTTCTTTCCGCGGAACTTTGAGGACACTATAACCTCTAAAAGACTATATTTAAAATATTTCATTAGAGGAATGAAGATTTTTCATCGTTTTACCATTAATAATCTTAAATTAGGTTTCATGTCCGACAGTTAAATTTGCATTCCTAGTGCTATATCTAGTCTAGTTAAGAATTTGTTTCGAGTGTACATACATAAGCTGAAAATGAATGAAATAAGCTGCTTCATGGTTTACTTCAAAATGCTAACTTAAAAGAACTGCTGTTGAAAATGTTTATAATCAAAACACATTTCTTTAAATAATTAAGTTATGTTGATTTGAAAAGCACAATAAGAAACACTAATGGAATATTTAATAAGTACTTGTTTTTTTTTTTTCATGATTTGGTCAATATATTATTATTAGAAATATTATATTTTAGTTTAAAAAATGCCATTTCTATTTCATTGACATTTTAATTGAAATAATTTCATAAAGACAACCGCAATATTAACTAAGTTATGAATTATTGGTTAAATCTAAATATAATCAGAGGTTTCAAAACTCATCACTGGTTATAAAAGTTACTAACTCGCGGAACCCCTTTAACTCTTCGACGGAGCCCAAGGGTTCCGAGGAACACCATTTGGGAACCACTGGATTAAAGTAATGCACATATAGAAAAAAAAACATTATCTCTAAGCTAGGTAAATAGCGTTTTAGAAATGTAGCATTGTAGCAATGGGGATATGTTGCTAAAATACAGATTAATATGATTGATATTTTTGTTTTCATTTAGCATTGAACGTCACGTGACTTTGACATAACAACGCTGAACAGCTTACCCAGCAACCATAGCTGAACGACATATTAATGTTTTTACTCAATTATTCTCTAAGGAACTTTCCTGTCATTAATGGAACAGACTTGCATGATTTGGATACAAAAAATGCACTTTCGAATTCAGATGACTTAACCCGATGCAATTTAACAGATAAAAGCTCAAAGCAATTTATAGAATGAAAATCCGAAGAATAGTAAATGTTGAAATACCAGAAAAAAGAACTTTTAAAAAGCGAAAGCTTTTAAAAATGTTAAAAACCTAATTCCGGCGAGATGAAAAACCGCTGCCAGTTTGAACTATTATAATAAATGCCTTTTTGAATTGATGTAAAGTTATCGTTACACATCGCTAACGAGTAGAATTACGTCTCATTTATTATTCTTATATTATCACACATTCTATATTCTTAGGCTTAATGTTTTTGAAGTTATGTTGATTATTTTGAAATCTGGATTATCACTTACAAAGATATATCTTAATAAAATGTTCTTACATAAAATTTTAATAATTATATATTTTATGAATAAAATAATGCTTTCTATTTTTTATTATTTAAAAAAAAAATTATCGACTGATCCAAAACAAACATTTATGAATGAAGTACAATGACGGGGGAAAGTGAGTGAAGACTCTTTGTGTCTTAACAGAATTTGTAATTAATCTCTTGCCTGTGGAATATATTTAAGAGAAACTTGCAAAAAATGGAAGAAGAAAAAAAATTCTCTGTAATTTTGTTCGTTTGCATTATCAAAATGTTAAAAATTGATTATTTTTATTAAAAAAATAAAGTTTTAAACGAAATAACTATTATGTTTAATAGTTTCACAATATATGGGGAATGTGAATGGATTAGAGTAATTTTAGCTCAAATTATAGAAAAATAAATTAAATGACATAATTTTAAAGATAAATATAAAAAACTGACACAAAAATATTATTATTTAAATCAACTGATGGGAATTACATGTTCCGACAAATACCAAAACTTTTCGCGGGGAAATTTAAAAATAAGTAAGGTTGTGGTAGCCCAGTGGTTAGAGAATCGCACTCCAGCCCGGAGGGTTCAGGGTTCGATCCTCGACTCCACTGAGACCCCCCCCCCGAGTACATGCGATATGCGTGCTTTAAAAATTTATGGAATCGGAAGTCCTGTAGTCGGTCACTGAGCAGTACCATGGGTACAGAGATCTGAAGAAAATTTCCTTCCCCTTCAGATCTATATCTAAATTGGAGTAGTGGCCTCACTAACTATGATGCCATGTTTTCGAATCATTTTCAGAGATGTTTTCAAGACCGTTGCCAATAGCTCATTGTGCATCTCTAAAATGACGTAAATAAAGTACTTCAAAAACCTTTCAACTTTACCTTGCTTTTACCTTTTTACTTTTGTGACAAATTTTACCCGGTAAAAAAAGGGGTGAAAATGTAGAAAGAAAATATAAATGAATAAAAATAAACGTTTAGGTGAGTAAAGTGCTCATAAATGAAGAGTTAGTGAAAGAAACAGGTAATCGTCGTTTTCAGGGTATTTATTAAACTGTGAAAATAACATAAAGTGGTCGTTTCAACACGGGTATATTTAATGCAGCAGATTTGTTTTTGTTTTCCCTTTAATTTTGATAAAACTAAACCACATTAGTTTTGAGTAGGCTTGCATGATTTTTATTTCAAATTAGGTAGTATTAAATAAAGTAAGACAAAGAACTATTAGCCTCGCCTTATTCTCTGAATAAATCTATAAGAAATAGTTCGGATGTCACGTTTTTTCTTTTTACCCTGATTGTAACCACTTTGAACAGAAAATTCATTTTACTAAGTTGACCAGTGTCCTGACAAAACTTAAAAACAAATAGTAACGTTTCTGAAAAAACTTTCGAAAAATCACCGCTTTACATTTTCAACTATCAAAAGAAAAAAAAAAAGCTTATATTTGTTAGAGAATCTGTGCTAAGAGTTTCCGTTATAAAAATATTAACACGTTACAAGCGGATCCCGAATAAATACGTTTTTGAAATTTGTGCGATCCATACAAAAGTTTAAAAAGCGGTATCAAAACTACTTCGTTTCCTCTCTGTCTTTCAAAGAAATAAATCTACTCATGATTGCCACAAACATAAATGATTTAGTATATATGTTATCAGTACTACAATCGTTCGTCGTAAATTGTTTTTTAAATTAAGGTTTTAACTACAGAAGCAAGTTTGCTCCAACTCCTATGAAATCTCGCCTACCATTTTTTTTAAAATTTTAATCTATAACAGCTGTAATACATTTTTATTCGAAAAGTTGCCCGCGTGCAATGTGTTAAGCTGGAAAGGTAAAGCAGTGAGTTTTCGAATATCCTTTTAGAAACTTTACTCTCAGTTTTTTTAATTTTGTCAGTTGGTCAGTTTTCATTTCACACTAAATAATGGATTAAATATAACTTACTTGAATCCTCTTCGAACTTCTCATTCCACCACACCTGTAAACCTTGTCTTATCTGAGGATTATCTGCCAGATACATATCTTTTTCGGATAAGGATTCATGTTGCCTATCCATTATATGATTCATGGCTGCTAACAATTCTAATCCATCTAATCTTTGGTCGTCGTCTAAATCATGAACCCTGTAATTATCAAAATGTGTTTGTAGTTTAGTTTAAGAGAAAATGACATCCTCAAATCGAAACATTGCTCTAAAAAAAGTCAACATTGAAAAGATTTAGAGATAAAAACTATTGGCTGAAAAAAACGCCCAAGCTTTTCCTCTTTGCAAAGTATTGGGAACAATGGTTTCTTACCATAAAGAACTCGGTTGACTGTCAGCACCGCCAAAGTGACATCACTGATTGGTGCAACGCTCCACAAAATATGAGCAATGCATTTCGGGAAGTTCGGATTCTCTTATTTACATGCTACATAACAATTCATTTGAAGATTGTGCAAGTATTATAAATAAAAATGCAATCAAATTTCAAAACTTATTAAGTGCAAGCTTTTAGAAGTAGCAATTCGATCAATGGAATACTAGCAAGTAGCTGTTTGAAACAGATTGGTCCCCTCATCAAACGGCAACACGTTGATGCAACCTAAATACGGCACTCGTAAACTCAAGTCATCGTGTACGTGCCGACTAACTACGGCACTCGTGCACACACATTGCATGACATAGACGCTGGCTTAATACGGCGTTCTTACACACAGAGCATCTCGTAAATACAGCGCTCGTAACGAAATGGTGAAAATTGTTAACTGTGGAGCTTAGCCATATCAAAGAGAAGAAGTACAGCTCTTAGAATAGGTAACTAACCCATAGAACTGCTCTGTTCGGTATGCTATACGAAAAAAACAGCTTACAGGGTGAGCAAAGTACTCAGATTTAATGCAGCATCATACGTACTAAGATCCAGCGTATGCGCAAAATAAACTAAGTGACTGTCAGGAGGTACCGGTTGTTTGGCAACTCTACATGTATGGCAAAGTACATTACCACTCGCATCCCACCACCATTGTTTCTTTGTCAAAATGTGTTAGAAGATTTAATCAACATGAATGATCAACATTAATGTTTTCTCATAGGAATATCTTTATTAACAGAACAGTACCGTTTACAATAGTGTGAAATGCAAAACAAACCAATACTAAACGAAACGAGAAAACATTATTCTTCCCAAGCGTGCCCTTAAATGTTGTTTTTTCTTTTATACACAGGGACCACACCAATCCTTGGAGGACTAGTTTACGTTATGACTACGGAAGCTAGCCTTCTTCCCCTATGTATATTCTTTGGCCATGCCTTCCTACAAAAGAAATCGTCCCCACGGATTTTTAAAACAGGTAGTCAACCAGCCTGCATAATGGTTTAAATGCGAACGTTCTACTTTCATTATAATAATATTATTCTCCATTATAGCTTCCAAATTGTAGCAAGAGAAAATTTTCTTGCTAATCTTAGCAAATGTTTACTGAGGTTATTCCTTTATTCCCGCAATGTCCTCATGTCTTGTTGCATTGCCTTCAGACTTGATGATAGAAAATATACTGCAATTCTAGAGGGTAAGAAGGTAGATAAAATTTTTTGGCTGAACCTTGTATTTTAAGAACAAAAGTCGCAGCATTGGTAATTGGTAGACTTACTGGAAATAATATGCTTCCAAATCTATGGGATCAAGTTTATCAGAAAAATCTTTATTGTAGAGTTCTTGCAGATCTTCTTTAATGTGGCTGTAAGAACAAAAGAAATTAACTAATTTGAATGAATACAATTTTAATCAATGCAATATATCAAAATATCTATATATATATTTCTCTTACACGGCGACAAAAAAAGCCTCATTACAACTCCCCGAATGACAACGCTAGAAAATCGACTAATGATTGCCGCTAAAAATGTCACATGCCAAATCTAGCTGAGATGGCTCAACATATAGCGCTTTTAAAAACGGAAACTGAAATAACCAGAGAGAGCATAAGCTAGGCAGAAGCGAGTAGTCTTTGTCGATAGATCTCTATTTTAGTATTTTGTCGATAGCACTTTTTTTCACGAATTTATATATTACGAATTTATTTGACGATTTTTGATTTATATCACGGATTTATTTGTTTTACTAGAATTTATTTGTTTATGCAGGTTTTTCCATTGCAATTCACTTATTTCAATTTTTAATAGACTTAATTATAGCCAAAATTTTAACCTTTTTAAAAATTATCAGTTTTAGAAATTTTATCTTAAGATTTAATACTATAGCACATTACTAATAGGTTTAACGAATTACATGTCATTTATTTGAATTCAAATTTATTTTAATGACTTAGTATTTACTAAAAAGTATTAATTTTTTTTAAAGAAAAAGTTGTGGATTTGAATGATTGTTTTGAATTCTTAGAATTTTGTGCATTTGCAATGTACCTAAGTTAGTAGTGAGTGAAGCGAGCCTGGTTTGCGAAGAAACCATATAAGATTGCGTAGCAACTTCCGGGGGTAGGCGAGCAGGCGGCGCAGCCCATTAGTTGTGATTAAATATTTATATTATAATAGGGATGCAAATCTAATTTATATGCATATATCTATACTTAAATACCCATGCGAAAAATGGCATCACATATTTGTTTACTATTTGAGCTTAAAAAAAAAAGCAATATACTTGTCGTTCAGAACCAATGTTATCCTAAACAGAACTAACTAGAAACACTTGTGCTACATTCTTTTTTCTTTTTTGAAAAAAAAAAAAAAACGAACTATTCTTTTGAAATATAATGGTAGGCTTAAATGAGTTAAGGCAATGCTCTCCAACCTCTTTTGCGCCGCAAACCCGTCAACGTTTGATAATTTTACCGCTGCCTGCTGAGAGGGGGCCGGTGTTGATTGTTTATACTTCAGATTGTTAGCCTGCAATAATTTTTGTTTAGTTGCATTTAAACGTACCTTCAAAATAAAATAAAAATACATGTTCGGTATTGGTGCGAATTTAGGTGACGTCTCTCAGCTCCCGGTTAACCTCTCGTCCATGGAAAGTCGTACAAATAGTCGTCTGTCCATCGTACAAACGACGTACAGTCATCTCGTTTAGACGGTCCGGTACCATTTGATACACTGGCTGGAACCGGTTCGTGGCTGAGGGGTTGGAGACCACTGGGCTCCTTAGCTCTTCGTATTTAAAATTAATTTCAAGGTGTGAAGAAAACTGGCAATGCATTTTCCTTCAAAACAAATTACAAAGCTCTTTGTACAAGATATCTCTATAATTTTAAAAACATGCATGATTTCAGATCTAAACAAGGAGCGGTATTAAAACTTGCTAAACAATTATTGCAGCAATATACTGTAAGTCACACTTTTTTTAATGGTGACATTTTTTCATCTAACTTGTCCTTAGTACTTATTTTCAGCAGGGAAATTTTCATATTTCCAGAAATGTGAAGTATTCCGCAATTCCCGGTTACAGAATAAGACATAAAGACATCTCTTTGCCATCATAAAAATCTTGGTATTTTTCACCGAAAAATGTTTAAAAAATCGTCACATAACTTTCATTTCTTTTTTAATGTAAATGAGCATGTTTTTTAATATGAATTAAAGAGTTAAAAATCTTTTCTCCATCATAAAGTAATTTTGCCATTTTGAACTATTTAGTCTTCTTAGTCATGCTTTCGATGGTCCAACAGAATAATAAAAGTGATAGCGAAATTCATATAATAAAAATTGCTTCTGTTAAAAAAAATAAAGCTGCTTTTAAGAATTTATCATACACTGTATTTCTTTTTATATATTAATGTAAACGTATATAATTTTATATATTACGTACTACATTTATCATTATATATCATATTATTTATTTCAATTCCTCAATATGTTAGTAATTCAGATACATTTTTAGAAAATTGGAAGTATTCTTCGGAGGTGAAAAATATTTCAATTTAAGCATTTGCTAAATCAAAAAAATTGTTTTTTTTTTTTTTTTTTTTTTTTTTTTTTTTTTTTTTTTTTTTTTAGAAAAGATTTTTTTTTTTCTATTACCACTTCAACATTTATGGATGATGACGGGAAACCCTGCATTTTAATTTTGTAACCAGTTGTTAATTTTGTATAATTTTTAAATATTTAATAAAGGAGAAGGAAAGGAAGTGTTGAATGAAGGAGCAAAATTACTCAACTAAAAAGTATACAATATCAGACCTGCCAACTACTACGCTCTTTGTAAAATATTTTATTGATTGCTGGACATTTAAAAACCAAGGATTTCAGAATTTTCGGTAATTTTGCCAGCATTTTAAAAGCTTTCCCACGAAAGAGCTAGAACAAAATGGCGTTGCAGGTGAACTTTTAAATCATTTGTATGTTGTGGTGTGGAAAATACATTTAAATAAATGAGAAATAATACATCAAAACATTTACTTTGCTACCACTAGATTAAATTTTTACTATAAGTGTAGAAAGTTGACAATCTTGCAAAATATTCCAGATTTTCTTTGCTGAGCTTTTCTAAAAAGGAGGGATAATTAAATTAAGGGGAGTAGGTAGGGCATATATCAATAATGCTAAAACTGTCTTTTTCTAAGAAACAACTTTCTTTGAAATATTTTGGAGATATTAGAGATTATCTGAGTTGTATGCTGCGATAATGTTTTATAGCGTTAACAACGTTAATACTTTTTTAGTTCTTAAAGATTTTTGATGAAAATTTTTAAGAACTTTAAAGTTCTCAGTTCATTATTTTTTTTAAAAAATTCTGCCAACGATATGTATTAACAGTTTTCACAGTACTGGCATGTATATGTAAATATTCTGTGAATAAAATCTGAAGCAATAACTTGTTGTGATACTAAGAAAAGGAACATCAAAAAAGGTCAGTTTTAACATTATTGGTATATAGTTTGTCTAACATAAGAACTTCTCCAGACATTCGTCTGGGCCTGTGGCGGTGACCATGGTAACGAGTTATGACTATTTTAAGTAGGGGTGTGGGGTCACTATTTTGGAGTGGTTTCGGTGAAAGAAAGAGAATCTCTTCGAACTATTGTGTTAGTCCTAGAGGGAAGCTACCCTCCCTAAAATGCACCATTCTTGTTTCCATAGTACCAGACGGCTTCAGACTTTGTGACGGGAGGAGTTCTTAGCTTAAACAAACTATATACCCTGCCGACTCCCCTTAAACGAGTTTACAAACAATATTACTTTTTAAGAATTGTGAAAATATTTTAATTCTAAGCGATTGATGAACGCTAATATTTAAAAAAGTTTACCAATAAGTAAAGATAATAATAAAATAAAAAAATTACTCATAATCTCTTAAGAATTCCTTGTCTTTTAAAATATCTTTTGGTTTGTCCTTATCAGGTTTGTAGTGTTTGTGCCCTTGATGAAGTGTCACTACCGGAATAAATCCATTTGCACACATCATAGATGTTAAAATTAGAATTGAGTTGAAGAGCACATTCATCCTGTTCCTAATGAGATTTAAAAAATATATGCTTATATTAATAATCAGTTAGTTATAAATGATTAAATGAAATAAAATAAATAACTACTATGATCATTTGTAATGCATTTTAGTAATTTTAATTCATTATTTTCTATTATTAAAATTCACTATGACTTCCATCTAGCATGATGGACAGCAACTCGTATACAGAATGCCGTTCCGTTTTCTGAAATGCTTCCAAGGAAGATTGTAGTTACCTACAGCAATTCTCAGTAATCATCCCGCAGTTGTAAAGTGTTTAAAAAGTAAGGTAATATTCAAAATAATCAAGAATGGTAAAGTAAACATCATCAGAAATTTCTATGTTACCTGTGACGTAAAAATTCTTATTTTTTGATTCTTGAATATTCTTGTCATATTTTTTTTTAATCGTTTGAAAAGCGTCATATCTGGACTAGAAGTTACATTCATGTTAAAACAGGATTTTAAATAGTGCCGTCCTTACGCATGGGTATAGCCTGGCTATACAGCAGGGTCCCAAACACTTTGGGGACCCTTGAGAATTCCACTTTCGAAAAATTGTATGTAATAAGAAAAACTAAGAAGATTAACATTGTCTTATACATTTTTTAAAAGAATTATATTCGATTGAATGAAGCTTGTATTTTGTTTTTCTTTCTACAAATAGTGATTGATTACAAAGCAAACACCAATGATTGGAATACCTTATAATCAGGAAAGCTTGAAAAGTTGCCAAAATCTAATTTTGTTTCTTTTTAGTGAGGTTTTTAGGTACTCAACTCTCATTTCCTTCTTAATTTGCTCCTTGTCAGAGCAATTGTGCTGAGCAGGTGATATTTTCAGATCACCTGTTCTGAAATCAGACCTAAAATAATCTTACTCTGAATAGGTACAAAAATACAAAATATAATATCTTGAAAAACAAAATTCATTGATTATGCATTTTTTCGGATATAACCTCAATAATCATAATTCGATATGACTTCAATATATTTCCGAAAATGTTACAAAATAAGACATAGTTACCCAAAACACTATTCTTATAACATTAAAAATCATTATATAGTTTATATTTATCCATTAACTATGAAATCTATAGAAAAATAAAAAAAAATACGTTGTTTTTTACCGTACAGTACTAGATCACTCTTGGAATTTAAGCCTTCAATCTCCTGTACAATTCATTGTCTCATGGAAACGGTATCAATAAATATGAAAATGATATAATAACACAGATTATCTTAACAAGAGAATGAGCTCGGAAAAAAAACTTCTGTTGCCGTATGTAAAATGAGATAAGAAATAATCGCTTAAAATACTGAAAGGTTTCATGATATTCAAAAACACCCACAAAAATTTTCTTTTGATGCAATCAAGAAAAATATTCATTATAATATTTCAAAAATAGTCTAAAAATATTTTTTTACCTTTATTTCTGAACACTATTTTTAGGAGAGTGCAAAATATTTATACAACTAACATTCTTTATTTAAATTTAGGGAATTAAATCCGTAATTTTAAACAAAAAGTTCACATTCTTAACAACATTTAAATTTTGATACTTAGGAAAATTTGCAAAAATCGCATTTATTTGGTATTTTAGTTAATCAGAAATAGTAAGAACAAAAGAAAAAAAAGACTTAAACTCTTATATTCTTTAATTTCTTTTAACATTGGTATTTTCAATTATTTATTTATTTATTTTGCTACGTTTTTTTATTAGCAGAAAAAAATTAGTTAATAAAAATATTAAATTTTAACTTTTGCGCTCTTACTAGTTGGAATATTTTTAATACGCAACAAGCATTATTAATAACTGTTTAGAATAAAAATTAATGAAATTATTTCAAAAAAATTAGTAAAAAACTTTTTAGCTTCGAAAAGTAAGAAATAAAATTTTGAGTGTAATTTATAAGAATCCAGTTGATACAGTCTCTATTATTTTCAAGATTCATTACATACATGATACATCTTAAAATTTGTTGTAAGAATTTCTTATAAAATTTTTTAAAGAAAGCTGTCGATGGTATCCGAACTATAATGAAAACATCTAATAAACAATTGAATTTTCATCTGCTTTCCTTAAAAATTTCATAAGAAATTCTTGCAATACATTTTATGATAAACTTTATATAAAACGAACATAATATCTGGGAAATTAACTGAGAATTTAAAAAATGTTAAATAAATAATCCCAAAAAACTTGAAGCGGTAAAATATTACTTGATTGAAAACTTCATGGGCTTCAAAAATATTTAAGTGAGATATAACAGTCGACATATTTCAAGCACTCAAAAACAGGCTTCCAATTCAAGACTTGCTAGACGCGAATGAGAAGAAACAAAAGCATACCTGCCAACTTTTACGCATTTGGCGTAAAATTTTATTTTTATACTTAAAGTGGTAGTAAATATATATTATTTTTTCTTTTATAAGCTAAATTTTTAAATGATTTTCATCGCCACTATTCTTAAAAAAATTAAGCATATATATTAAAATGTGTTACTACCGTATTTTTTTGCTTAAAATTGAAATTTTTATTCCATTTTAATACCACTAAGAAAAATCATAATGGAAGAGATTAAAAGTTGGCAGGTATGCAAAAGTGATCTGAAATATAAAACGAAAAGTTGCCAACAAAAAATAGTAAAATAAAGGTGAACAATGCGAAAATTATTTTCACCCTAGTGCAGCAGCTCATCTTGATGCCCTGGAATCTTGGTTCATTCATATAAATGCTGATCCCCATGTTAACGACAATAGTACTTCAGCATTTCTCTATAGCACGTGGAGATGCATTATACCTTGATTTGCCCTTCTCGACCATTGTGGTTTTTCTTGTTCTATTTTACATCTATTTTCTGATTGGTATAGCATGGCTGATAGGGCGTAGGGCCCATGTTCGAGAGATGCACTTTACAAGGGACTCAAAGTCATTTAGCTGAATGAAAACACGTTTTAATACAACTATAACAGAATAAGCATTTGCTTTCAGATCACTTCTGAAATGTTTTTTCCATTGTGGTTTATCTATAAATAAGCTATAGGAAAAAGGCTAGTAGACGTCGATATTTGATCAACAACGTCTAATGGATCATGTGGAAGAATTCTGGACAACTACTGGATGAATTGTGCTGTATGGGAATAATAAAACTTTAGTTGTGGTGGCTTAGGGGATAGAGCACTCGTCTTCCAATGAAGTGACCTGAGTTTGGATCCCAACGATGGCTGATCGATACGAATTATGCACCCGACTTGCGCCAACCGCAATACAGACGTAAAATATCCCCAGTGATTTACGGATCATGGGTTAGAGGCCCCTTGCCGTCAGGCTAACAGTTGGAAATTTTCGTGGTTTTCCAGCCCATGTTGCTCGAATGCGGGTTATTTTCATCAAAAAGTTCTCCACGAAAGCAAATTTCTCCCCATATTTGTTCCAGTTGTTCCCTTGTCTTCTGGGTTGATAGTCATAAACTCAAAAATTGTTCAACGACGACTGTTCAACGACGGTTTATAAAACAAAATACTAAAACTTGTCAGAATATCAAGACTGTTCCCAGATCGCCTAGTAAACTAAACGTAAGAGAAAGGATACATATGAGATTTTCTAGATTTTTTCCACTTTTAGGAAGCTTTGCTATTGTTTACATTCAGTCACCCATCCATAACTTGTTGTGAAAAAGATAAAAACAGGCATCTTAACAGTATTATTTTTGAAATTTATTTTGGAGAAACAAAGACTTGTTCATCGAATGCTCTCAAAAATGACACGCATTCTGTTTGCTTCATCGATTTTTGAATTTTGAAATCAAAAATAAATCATGTTGGCAAATCGAAAAATAATTTAACTAGAAATTTTGTTCATAAATGTGATTGAGTAATTGACTATTCACGATGCAACCCTCGAAAACGTCATCTGGGAGAGAGGACAGGCTCCATGCTTTGATCATCCCCTTTTTCTTTTTCTCCTCTGCTCAGTAGTATGCAAATGTACTACAAAATTTTCCCCTTTCATAACAGTTTTCACATTTAATTGTCAAAAATTTCCATGATCCTTTATTTCGGAGTTATGTGTAATGCAAGCTTTGAGTTCAATACAGTATTCTAACTTGATTTTTTTTTTTTTTAAAGTCTGTTTGAAAATCAAGAAAGAAATTAATGTACTTCCTTCTTCTATGACCCTCCACATGCTAATGGTGAAAGCATGCGAATTGTTGATAGGTAGAGAGTTGTGGTCTACGCCATTTTTAGACCATTTCGATTGCCAATTCTCACTGAATGCAGTTCTCGCACTATCGATCAGCGTCGAAGAAAAATGAGAAATGATGAAAATATTTTATTGGTGATCGAAGCGGGTTACAGATGGCTCAGAGACAAACTCACTAACTACAGCAACACTTCGCATGCTTTCTTCATTACCGTTTGGATAGTCAAGAAAGGTGGATAAAGAACGTTATTTTTTATTTTAATTTTTAAATTGAAATCAGTCTTATCTCAAAGTGGAGTCTTGACCCTCTCTTCTTCTTCTCAGTTAAGGCTATATGACGCGAGGCAACCTAGTTGAAAGCAACTAGCGGTTTCGGTGAAGTTGAAACGTGTCATATGATGGTTGCCCGCTGCCCGGCTGCTTTCAACCTGCTTTCAACTAGCAACTGAAGTTAAAACCTTTCAACTTTAGTGGAGCAACCAGATTAGTTGAAACGTGTCATATAGTAGTTTCCAAATACTTTCAACCTTAACTAGCAACCATTTAGTAAACAAAATACGCGTGCTGATTCTGACGCATCCTGAATTTTTATCTGTTAAATTTAAACTTCATTTAATCTCCTAACTATGACTATTTTAAATGGAATTCTAGTGATATATGCATTTTTTTTTTTAAATTTTTCAAACGTATCCTTGTCTTTGGGACATAAATTACAAAGATTATGCAAATAAACTAATTCCCTATAAACTAATTTCCTCTGTGGAGATATTAAAAGTTACAAATTATTATTGAATTTTAAAAGTGAATGGAAAAAAAACTAGCATATTACTAATTACAAATGTTTAAATATTTGAAAATTCAAAATTATATAGCTTGAACGCTAACCTTTTTAAACTCATTTTGACAGATTTTGATAGATATTTGAAAATGCCATCTAGGGAGAGGAATAAATGATATTTCCGAGTACTAATGAAATTTTGAAAGCAAACGAAAGAAATTATTTTGCTTTTCAATCACCTTTTTTCTGTTCCAGTTCTTCTTTCAGAACCTCAGCTATCAGCTCAACGCCTACTTCAAGTACATCGTCAATAATCGCTTCTATGATAATTAAAAGAGCTTTTAGCAATAAACTTTATTGAAAAATATAAGTTCTGGTATTGGACTGTTANCAAGATATTTACTTTTTACTCGTTACTTTTTTTAAAAATACTTGTACTTTTACTCGTTACTTTTTAAAAGTAACGTTGCCATATATGGTCTTGACCCTCTATTCTTCTTCTCAGTTAAGGCTATATGACGCGAGGCAACCTAGTTGAAAGCAACTAGCGGTTTCGGTGAAGTTGAAACGTGTCATATGATGGTTGCCCGGCTGCTTTCAACTAGCAACTGAAGTTAAAACCGTTCAACTTTAGTGGAGCAACCAGATTAGTTGAAACGAGTCATATAGTAGTTTCCAAATACTTTCAACCTTAACTAGCAACCATTTAGTAAACAAAATACACGCGCTGATTCTGACGCATCCTGAATTTTTATCTGTTAAATTTAAACTTCGTTTAATACTCTAACTATGACTATTTTAAATGGAATTCTAGTGATATATGCATTTTTTTTAATATTTTTTTTTTATTTTTTTGAAATTTTTCAAACGCATTCTTGTTTTTAGGACATAAATTACAAAGATTATGCGAATAAACTAATTCCCTATAAACTAATTTCCTCTATGGAGATATTAAAAGTTACAAATTATTATTGAATTTTAAAAGTGAATGAAAAAAAAAGCATATTACTAATTACAAATGTTTAAATATTTGAAAATTCAAATTATATAGCTTGAACGCTAAGCTTTTTAAATTCATTTTGACAGATTTTGATAGATATTTGAAAATGCCATCTAAGGAGAGGAATAAATGATATTTCCGAGTACTAATGAAATTTTGAAAGCAAATGAAAGAAATTATTTTGCTTTTCAATCACCTTTTTTCTGTTCTAGTTCTTCTTTCAGAACCTCAGCTATCAGCTCAACGCCTACTTCAAGTACATCGTCAATAATCGCTTCCATGATAATTAAAAGATCTTTTAGCAATAAACTTTATTGAAAAATATAAGTTCTGGTATTGGACTGTTATATACTATAATAGTCCAATACCAGTGCCGTTCTGGTATTGGACTATTCAGAGTTGGTTGAACAAGCGAAGGTTGTAACGTGTGATCACAAACGAGAAACCAAAAACCGGTTTCGTAACTAGTTGCCTCCACTTGGTTGCCTAGTGTCATCAGCACTTTATATAGGAATGTACAACTATATTTTCCACTTTTTCAATATTTTTCGTATTTAATTTTTAATAAAAATTTTTAAATTTCTATAACTTCTTTCTAGAGATCTGTTCAATGTAATTCTCAATTCCGAATAGTTTCCTAACTTAAAAGGTATTCATTAATCTGAAAAACAAGAAAGAAACTAACGTATTTCCTTCTTCTATGACTGTGCTCAAGCTAATGGAGAAAGCAGGTGAAATGTTGCCATAGTTAGAGAGTTCTGGTCCTCGCGATCTGTAGCCCATTTCGATTACTATTAGTGCATTCCCATTTATTCCTCTCCCTAGATGGCATTTTCAAGCACTGCGATCGAGGATTGCGAAATAACTCTCCAATCAGGTACACCATATTTCTCATCGGAAGTGCTCGAACTGTATAAAGCAAGAACGGCTTTTTTGCTGCGCGGAAAAGAAAAAAATTCAGGGAAATGAACGTTCCTGCGAATTTAAAGGTGCTGTTTTTGAAGCAGTCTCACTGCGTGTTATTCGTATATATGCTTGCACCATGGAGTCTAGAGTATCTTAATGGTTACCGCCTTAGGATCCATGGCTTGCACTCAATGCGATTAGTGCATGCGCGAGCAGTTAATCTTGCAGACAAGTTTCAGACATGCTCACTGCTTGAGTATCACTCATCTACTATCATCGAAGTAAAATGAGAACTTGATTATTGAAATTTTGCATCAACAATCAGGTTCTGCTTTTTGCTTGAAGGCGATCACAGGTGCTTAAATTAAATACACTGTGAACAATCCCTAAGCATTCGATCGTGCGTCATGGGCAATTGGATGTAACCTTAATTTGCCCTTTAAGTGTTATTGCATCTGCTTCGAAATTATCTTCATTATTCCTCTGTCAGTTTCCACAATTCCAAATGGTATTAAAGTTACATAGATTTTGTGAACTTTGATTACATTCCAAAATGAAATAAATTTGCTTTTTGTAAGACAACGCAATTGCAAAAAGTTACAACTTTAACAGCTGAAATGCAACTTAGAATATATTTGTTAATCATCTATTTTGAATCTGGCAATTTAAGACAGAAGCGAAATTTGAATTGCGCCCTCTTTAGCGTCTGTGTTGTCGTTGGTGACAAAAATAAAAAACACTAAATTTAGATCAGTTACATTTTAAAAAAGTGTGCAGTTTCATTATTGGAGCTAGTGTTCTTTTTCAATAAAATATTACATAACTACAAATATGAGCAAGAAAACCTCGTATAAATCTGGGGATTTGGTATTTGCTAAAGTTCGAGGATATCCACCTTGGCCTGCTAGGGTAAATAAAAAAAAATTCACCGGTTTTTTAGTATTTTGACTGTGGAATTTAAATATTTACCTTTTTGACGTAAATGTACCTCAAAATTTTACTGTAAACTAACATTTGTCTGTTATTTTATGTAGTTTATTCAATGTATACTTGATTGTACCTTTTTATTTATACTAGGTGAGCATTATTTATGATACATTTCATCTTGATCTTCGATATTTTAAACTATATTGTTTGTTTCATGAAAGTGAATGATTTCTAAGTTTTGTATTATTTATATTCCTTATGATCATGTAGTTTTTCTAATTTGTATTGGTTTTGTAGTAAATAGGTACATAAAAATAACAAGAAAAATATTTTTTTTAATCATTGATTTATTTTGTCAAATTCACATTAGTTAGGTTTCAACTCAATTTTTTAAGTACTTTAAAGATCTTAGGCTCAAAAAATTAAAAGCGAGTATACTTCTGTATCGTGATGTGTCTGGCCAACTACAATAACAATTGACAAGGTACCAAAAGAATCTCAAACAGGCATAGTTATTTTTTAAAATTAAAAGTTTGCTCGAGGTTGGGCATCAGTTCCACCCTTTAATTTGGTCCCCTTCTGTTCTTTTTTATTATTTTGTGGGTTGCCGCCCTGAAGTTACCAAGATTTGGTGGTTATTCTGCTGCAGATCTCAATACAAAATCTTTCAAACTCTTAAATTGGATGACTGTAATACAAATTAATCCATCTAAAGACCTTTGATCCAGTATGGATGGGGTAAATCTTGATCCGCATTTAATTTTTAGCGCTAACATTATAGATATCAGGGATATTTCCGTAACATGATCTGCTGCCCAAAATAAATTCCTAAGGTGCCAAATATATTTTAAACTTGTTAATTTCTTTAAATATATGATAGTTCTTTTAAAATTCTGTAGTGTTTTTAGTTTTTATTAAATTTTTTTTATTGATTAGATTCAAAGTAAAAAACAGCAAGTATAAGAAGCAGATGTACTTTTCTATTTCGCCAATGGAAGGGATAAAGTTGATGTGCAAATTTACCAGGCATAAGTAAATTACTAGGAGTCTGTCTAGGTTTTTCTGAGAGGTACCTATTTTGTGAAAATGTAGACATAATTTGTGAAAATTAAAAAATCATATGAAAAAAATCAACACAAAAATATAGGGTGAAAATGTGGATTTATCGTTATTTAAAGGATACTAAAATAAAATTTTAAGAAAAAGTTTTTTGTGAACTATCGTTTTTCCTAAAGTTGAATTTGTGAAGGTACTGCGAAACGATAGTAAATTTAGCCTGGACAGACCCCTGATTACACTGTTTTTATTATTAATTTTAGGTCACAATTATTTTTTTTTTTTAAATAAAAGAATTCAGCGTTTTCATCATAGAAAAAAAAATGGGTGAGAATTTCTCACCCTTTCTCAAAAACAGGGTGAGATTTCAGAAAGTTAAGTAAGATTTCTAAAAACTGAAAAAATACAAATAGACTTGAAAAAAAAAATTTCTTTCATTATAATACATTTTTAACGTCTTCTATTTTTTAAAGCATTGAATATTCTTGCTGCATCATCATAGAAGATTTTGCCTTTACTAGGTATTTGTCCATCTTACATTAGTGCATAAAAAATTTGAACGTCTTACATGAAAAAACCTTACCTGCGGTAAACACGTGGTTGCAGAGAAATGTGTTCTGAAAGGGGTTCTGTTGTTCAAAAAAGTTCTGAACAATACTGGTAAATAGGGAAGCTAGATAACGGGGCAAATGTTGAAAATAATGAAAGATCCAGGAAGAAAAGTGAAATGGATTTTATTCTAATTGGCGTAATTCGAAGCTTTTTCCAAAATGCGAGAAATTCGCGAATTGTGAAATTGATTTATAGAATGCGCAAATTTCTCGCGGTAATCATTTTTTAATGCGAGAAAAGAAAAATATATGCGAGATTCTCGCGCTGTAGTGAAAACACTGGAATTGGTAAACAAAAAAATAGAGAAAAGTATCGAAACAGGTTTTCAGAAAGTGTTGTTCAATAACTTAAAAATTGTGTCCTATACAAGCCTTTTTTATCATTAATTATTTAAGTTATGAAATATTGTTTACTAAGTGTTACTATATATGAGAATTTCAGGTTCATTAACAGACCCTTTACATATTGTTTTGTCGTTAAAGCAGACCTTCCAAAAAATATTTTAATCCTGGAAGTAGATGATTCACAAAATTGGTTATAGACCATTAACAAGATATGTTATCGTATAAACAGGTTTTTCATAATGTCTCTTTTTTTTTTTTTTCATTTTAAAATGAAAGTAAATAGATGTTTAAATTCATAATTTTAGACTACAATTCTTTGACAGGCAAAGGGATATTTCCATATTGTGATCAGTTGCGCCAACTACAATCGCCAAGGTGCCAAATAGATTTTAAAGTTGTAAATATTTAAAAAAAAGAAAAAATCATGTAGATGTTTGCTTAGGGTGCCCACGAGTTATACCTTTCTAGTTTCTCGTGGGCCAATGCACGGAAGTTGCCAAGACTTGCTGATTATTCTGCCACAGATCACAATACAAAATCTCTGTGTTTTTTCCCTAAAGGACCTTATATTCACATATTAGAAAAAGCTTGTCTAAGGCAGCAAGAACCCTATTCTGTGATAGTTTTAGTTTCTGAGAATCTTGATTAATTTTTTCTCTAAAAGCAGGATTTTCCCCAAAAAGTCTGAGCAAACCTGCATTTCTTGTGATTTTTCTTAAAATGTCATAATGGTATATAAATTTTTCACAAAATTTGACCTTTCAAAATAAATCTGAAATAACCCTTCTAACTTTTTAAGTTTTATTAAAATAACTTAATTCATCCATTTTTTTTTATTTTTAAAGAAGCTATAATAAAAGACATACAATATGAATGAAACTTTTAACTTATTTTATGAATAGTTCATTTTCAGTATTGTAAGTTGCACGTAAGATTCAGTAATATATTTGCAATATTAAAATCAAAATGTAAGTTTGTTTTTTAAAACTAGGATTTGGTTGAATTTTCATTATAATGTTTTTTGGGGGGAAATTACAAATTATCAGCTTTTTGGAAGTATATATGGGGGTCTGACCATGCCAAATTTACTACCGTTTAGTGGTACCTTCACAAATTCAACTTTAGGAAAAATGGTAGTTTCACAAAATAATTTTTCTTAAAATTTTATTTATGTATACCGTAAGAAACGATTAATTCATATTTTTATCAAATTTTTGTGTTGATTTTTTAATAGAATTTTTAATTTTCACAAATTATGTCTAAATTTTCACAAAATAGGTAACTCTCAGGAAAACCTGGACTGACCCTGGTATATGAGTGAAACCTAGATTTAAGGTTTGTCACACAAGACAAAAATGAAACATTTTGAAAATAATGGGATGTCGTTATATCAGAAATATAAAAATTTAAGTGCATGAAAATTTAATTATATTTCATAAAATACCTAATTATATTGTGATACTTAATGTTATTTCAGTAAAGAAGAAAAATTCATGTTATTTTAATGAAAAAAAGTGTCAAATATTTTTTGTTCACCCCTTATACAGAATATCCACGCACCTGGAAAGTCATGAATTTTGGTATTCAGCAAAATTTGTCATGATTTTAACTATTTTTTAAAAAAGTCATGAACCTAGGTCGTCGAAAAATCTAATTATTAAACTGGAATTTACCCCTCTCTCAATTTGTTGGTGTTTCGAATATCTGAATCTATAACAAACTCCCCACTCACTGTCATATTTTATTAAAATATAAAATATTTTTATCATGTTCTTTAAAAATTTTGTTCTTTTGAAAAATGGAAGAAGAAAAAAACATCATTTCTAGAGCAAATTATCTTTTAAACTTCTGTGATTTCAGAATTTTTATTATTTATTTTTTTATTTTATCAATTTAAAATTGCAGCTGAAGCAAGCCAGTGATTGGCAAATTATTTTTATTCCGAAATGGGAGCAGAAAAATCAAAAATATTTCTTTCCTTTCTCTTGAACAAGAAAAGTTTCTGTAGAATATAATTCTGCTGAAAAAAGAACAAAAATTACTTTTGAGCTATTTTATTGCTTCAAATCTTTATTTTCTCTGTTTTTTTAATTAAAAATCTATAATTATGAAGATGCAGAGTATAACAGTTTTAGTTACACCAATAATTTCAATTAATGTTATGATGCTTTTTTAAATTTACTATTGTGTTTTTGTCGGAGAAAATAGTAACATCATAAAGTCATGAATTTGAAAATCTAAAATGTAGCAGAACCCTGCTTATATTATTTAACAACCACATTCTTTTGGATCTGAAATCTAGAAGCAGGTTTATTTTTCCTCGAATATCACAGAATTCTGCTTATCTCCAGACCATTGTCTCAATCTCAAATCAAAAACTTAAAATTTAATGAAATGTTGAAACTTTGTTAAACCCCGTTAACGAGTTGTTTAAACACATGGCTTGATGATTTCAACTACGGTCCTTTGGTTTGACTGATTTTCACTGTTTCCTATGTTTGGAATTTGCTAGTATCGCAATTCTTTTCATGAGATTTTAATATCTGACATCAATTTTCAGATTTACATGATTTAATAGTTATGCATTGCAATTCATTTTCATGCAATTTAAAAATCCAATATCGCAATTTGTATATATGCTTTTTTAAAATCCGATATTGTGTTTCATATCCACATGAGTTTAAAATCCAATGTTATGATTCATAATATCTAACTTTGATTTTCGTACTTGTGCTTGATTTAAAAAGCTATGTTTTGCAACTCGTATTCACTCAAACTCCTCTTTGACGCATTGGAAGGGAAAGAAATGTTCGTGATTTTTCTATTCTTTTTTGACAATAGCAAAATAATGTTCTGCTTTTTTTTTTAAATTGGTTGAAATAAAACCAATCCAATATTTTTTTAAAAAAATTATGCACATGAAAATTTTTAATCACAAATTTTTCACCTTTTCTCAACTCATGTCAATTCAATCATTTAATCCTATTCTTNTTTTTTTTTTTTTTTGCAATTATTGCTGCAAACTTTTGTTTTACTGAAATCCTGATGTCTTTCATTGCTCAGTTAATATCTGAGAAGAATATTAATTTGAGTTTGCTTGATAAAAATACCATTCAAATGCTTCAATTTATCATATAAATATATCTTATTTTTAATCCAATAATGATTTTTTTTTTTTTTTGAGTCATCAGCAGATTATATTTAGTGTAAGACTGTTTAATATACCTGGGTCCGAGTAGTAATATTTTAAAATAAAGTTCAATGTTTGTGAAACAGTAAGAGAATGTAATGTTAAATATGAACTAATTTGCTGTTTAGATTTTGCATTACTTATGTTATTATTTTGCATTACCCATAAAAGTATATTTTAAAGACATATACTCTAAAAAATAGTAAATAGTCTAGTCTCCTAAAATCTTGAAATAGAGCTATTTATTTCCAAGGTTTCAAGATGTTAATAAGTTTCATCATTATTTTTTCATACATTATTTTATATTAACTATAATAATGATTTAAAATATTCTTATTGCAAATATTTCTTTTAGGTTGAACACGAACCTCCTCCTGGTAAAAAAGTACCTAAAAATAAATATCCAATTTTATTCTTTGGAACTTATGAAACGTAAGTATAAATTTAAAATTTTAAAACCTCCAAATTAATTCTTAGAGAAATTAGTTTTTTTATTTGATCATTTTATGTATAAAAATTTTTTAAACTTAATTTTTTGTATGATGTATTTCAAGATCTATATAATAATAAATGAAAGAGTTTTTGTGCACATGTTTTAACATTATATATTTTGTTAACGACTATTTTTTTTCTAAATTGCTTAAAAAACATAAGTTATTTTTGCTAGCATACAACTCTATTTTATCACATTAGTGTTTAACAGCTTAGTGCAAGAGTTCTTTTTAATAATTATTATTCCTAGTAAAAAAAAATCTTTGCAAATGTAGTCCAGTTAATCATGGAGGTTAAGGTTTCACAATTTAGTTACTAACAGTACAATAGTAGCAATATAGTTTCTGACTGCCTTCACTTAGATTATCTGCTACCCAATGATCTAAAGCTGGGTAGGTTTTAAGTCAAAACTAAAGACTCCAATTTAGGATAGCTTATTACTTTAACCTTATTGTTTCTAGATTTCTTTTAAAAAGGCAATTCCTTTTTTTTTCTTCCAAAAAGAAAAACTGTTAACTTGTGTTTAATTTTTTAGGATTTATTTTGCAATAACATGATAGTTCTGTTTACCGTAATATACTTATATGTTTCTTGAATTTGAAGATGTCTTACAGTAGGGGTACACAACCTTTTTGAGTGAAGAGTCACTTGTATAGCAGGTTGAATAACAAAGGGCTGCACGTGTTTTTAGACTTGTTGATGGCAAATGTATTTTTTAGTATTAACATTAGTGTTCTAAGCACTTAACAGTTTTATCAGTAGATTCTGTAATATACTTACAGAAAATTAAATACTTTTAATTTTTAGAATTTATTCAAAAATGAAAAAACTAATTTCCCCCCTTTTTATCAAAAATTGATGTGTCAAAAACATGTATGTATATTAATATTAGAGAAAAGAATTTTTTTATTATTATTATTATTTATTTATTTTTAATCATATTACATATTACAAAAGTTCATTTTAAAATAAATTCTACCAAAAAAGAAGAAAAAACTGTAATGTTCAGTGAATAAAAGTATTAAAAAAAAAATACATATTTTAATGAGTGATATAAATTAAAATTAAATATTTTAATTAAAATGAAACCATTTTAGCACAAGATAAGATTTACTATTTCCTTGGTATTACTTGAGATATTATTTATATTTCTTGAATTATTCGAAGCTTTATGAATTTGAAGTAGGAGACATTTTTTTTTTTTTTTTTTTAAATTTTTCTCTGTTTTTATAATTTTTCATGTAGAAATAACATTTCATTAAAATATCAGGATTCTAAATACTGCTTTAAAATCCATGACATTAATTGACAGAAAAACAGTGGAAAAATATTTAGGATTAACGATGAAATTGGCACAAAATTGTATCTGAAAGTTATTATTTAAATGGCCGATTAGAAATTCACATATTGTAATTTCATCATAGTTTTTTTTAAAAAAAAAAATATGATTCTCAAAATCATGTAAATTGGAAGAAAAAACCCACGTAAATTTACAATGAAATCAACATGAATAAAGTGCATCAAATGCGTTATTTAAAATTTGCATGTTGTAATTAAAATCGGAATTTTTAAAACCCCGGGGGAATGTAGAGCAATAACGGCCTACATTCCCCCCGGGGTTTTAAAATTTCTGATTTTAATTACAACATGCAAATTTTAAATAACGCATTTGATGCACTTTATTCATGTTGATTTCATTGTAAATTTATGTGGGTTTTTTCTTCCAATTTACATGATTTGAAATTGCCTGAAAAATTGTTTTTAAAAAAATTGGATTCATGCATCTGAAAGGGGCTTATATGTGTGATTTAAAACTCTGGTATTGTACGATTCTCTTACTAAAAATATAGGATTTTCAAAATCGTAGGGAAAAGTATAGCAGTAACTGCCTTTAAGAAACTTTAAAAAAAGGAAAAATCAACTAGACTTGCAATTAATTCAGTGCAAGTAAAGCACATCAAAATGTGATCAATTATCTTTTTTTCCCCCCTTTAATTAGCAATCTTTATTTTTGTTAGCTGTTTAATTTAATATATATATATAT